TTCGCAAGGCTCTATTTTCCTCATTTTACAACATTTCGCAACGAAACTTTCGAATATTACTAATTTTGTGATGCTCTTTCAAGCTGTGATGAAATATTTGTCTAGACTTGCCTAGATCAAAATTTTGGTTATAAGGGGAAAGATCTATTTTGATCTAGTCCTAGAACTGGATCAATTTTCTTCACCAGGTATCCCGTATTATCATGTGAGCAAAATAAAGTGATATGGTTGGCTAATTTATTTATGAATTACTAATGAGTTTGAGATTTGGTGGTAAATAAAGAAGTTGAATTTGCGCGCTCCTATAATCTGGGCCGCCAAGAGGTTGCACGGGGCTTGGGGCAAAATTTTCCCAAGGGCATCAAAATTTTCCCCATGACGTCATAATTGTAAAACAGAAGAAAAGGTGTTTTACAATATATTGCACTTTACTGCACATTATTCGGCATTAACGCAGCCAGAAATAGGATTTATATTTTCGGTTGTCAAGAAAATTTAGGGACCTTCAATTCGTCGCTTTGGGGGCCAATTTTGGACTGGGGAGGTAAAATGCCCCTAGGCAGTACTGTCCAAAATGCCAAGGTGTGGGGGAGGAGGTTGACCATCGTCCACTGCTCAGTAAAATCCATCAAATACGTACCTGGATTACAGTCCGTCAATAAGGAACATATCGAGAGTAAAACCTTAGAAATTGTCAGCGCTGGACTCCAACTGTCTTTGAAAATATCCAAACATATTTGACCCTGAGATAATAAAGGGTGAAAAGGTTACTTTACAAGTGCCTTCTTCTCGGCCAAAGCTTATTCAATCGGACGATTCGGACCCAACATTGCTGGCTCAATTTTCCATTCAACAATGATATTGATGCTACTCATTTACAGTAGCACATATTTTATAAAGCACAGATTTCCAATTTAGATAGATCTACATTATAATTTTATTCAAAGATTTGAAAAACTAGCAGTTAAAACCAAATAATTCAGCAATGTTGATGATGCGTCCAAGATGGGCCCTCATACATGCTTTATTATTTAACTCTGTCTAACACCAAACGATTTTACTTGTCAAGAGGAATGCGCTATAGGCCTAGGGCTCAGTGGCAAAAACCCCAGAGACAATTAAAATCTCAAAATCCCGCTCGAATTTGCTTCACGATTATTTTTGATAGCGTCTGTCCAATCTGTCATGTTCGTATCAGCACAGGAGGCCCAATAGGCAATAAGTAATAAGCGAGTTGTAATGAGAACAAGAAAGACTAAAATGGTTTAACATTCAATAAAAAGTTATTGTGTTACCGTGAAAATATTCCAGCAACTGTTTTTGTAGCCATAATAGCTGTTTATTTAAATCATGCGAGGCTTAATCTTGCGCCGACTTGCAGTGGTGAAGTGACGTATAGTCTTCGTTACTGAGAAGGTAGGAAACTCTTTTGCCTATATCCACATACATCCTCACTTCACACTACCAAAATTTTGTGTCAAAACATCATGAAAACACTGCAAGTCTGCATATGTTACGCAAGATAGAGCTCGCATGCATGGTTTGAATAAACACCCATGGCCATGGTTACAAAAACAGTTGCCAGAATATTTTCACGGTACCACAATGAATTTTTATTCAATTTTAAACCAATTTAGTCTTTTTCGCGACCATGCATTACAACTATCTATTGGGCCTCCTATGGCCCTATGGTTTCAAGTGGACCTGTTGAAAATGAAACTGATCTCATCAGTGCAGATTGGATAAACCCTATATCAGAAGGAAGCCAGTGGAGCAAGTCATAGCCTGCGTACCTGCGTACGGGGTTGGGTTGAGGCGCGGGCAGCGAAAATTAGGGAGGTGAGGCCAATTTTACCCCAACCCCTTAAAACCAAGTACAAATCCATGCAATGTCAATCTAAACCCAAACCTAACTAACTGCCAAACTTACTTGACTGTTGATGTTACAGTGGTATATTCTTGTGCGGAATGTTACCTAAAATAAAGACAATGTCTACATCAATGTTGCTTCGAAGACGCTATTCGCTCTAGACTCTAGTCTTTCCATTATACTTGGGCCAAGAAGGTTTATAGCAGTATAAATACTGGCTTAATGGCTAAAAAATGCATGTGCATGGCAAACAAACGTTTCTTTTCCCGTGTCTTATAGGGGCTGATTACATGGAGAGTTTTCAGCCTGGGTTGAATTTCTGTCCGGTTAACCGAACTGATACTTTTTCACGAATACACGCACTCTGAAACAGACAGAAACACTCGTGGTTTTATACATTTATTAACACCTATAACCAGGAACAGCTGCGACGCTATGGTTTATGGCTACAGCTCGACAACTGAACTCTGTAGCAGTGTAGCTCATATGGTTAGAGCCCTAGCTGGACCTGCTACCATGCATAGGCCATAGTCTTATTAATGTAAAATCAGGAATCTGGTTATACAAAAAAAAAGTGGACACTGTTTGATTTCGTGTAACGTAAAAGCTACCAAAGCCATCGCAATGAAATAAGGATGATTGCATTCAGAAGGGGCTAACTTAGATTTTGATATATAACACTTGAATTTACATGCAATATTGAGCGAGATACAACTGTTTGAATTTGAAATGTGCTTCAGGAATTGGTGAAAACTCGGTAAAAACTGCTGGGCTAATTATAAGGTTGTTTTATGCTAATTTTTGATGACATTTTCAAAAACAGTAGTTCAACGTTCAAACATCAATAGCGCAATCAATATTGTATGTAAATTCAAGTGCTATAGCCTTATATATTGAAATCTAAGTTAGTCCTTTCTGAATGCAATGATCTTTATCAGTTCATTGTGATAGCTTTAATAGCTTTCACGTTGCATGAAATCAAACAGTCGGTCCAGTTTTTTTTGGGACACCCGGTATATATTTGACCATCAGGACGTATTTATCCATCCAACCGGAGTATGTTGCATGATGGATAAATAACCAACCTACCAAACAGGGCCGTTAGTTATTTATCCAAGTCCTGGTCGAATATAACTCAAGGACAACTACGGGGCTTTAGTCGGGCCGACCTGAAAACCGCGTCCATATAATCAGCCCTAAACAGGATGGGAAAATTTCCGAAGTTTTGCGCAGCTATATACAGGGTGTATAAAAAAAACTGAACAGATTTGAAATTGCTCGCAATTTCGCAAAACAGCTATTAGTATCCAGTGTTTTTGATATATATAGTTTCTTTGGGTACTTTTTATGCAGGATAATGAAACAAATTTCTCAAACTCAAATTTTGTGAACCAGGGGTGTGTGTCTTTTCAAACAAACTATGAATGGCTTGCGCACGAAATTTAAAAGCTTTAATCATATTTTGAGTTATTGGATGGAAACTTTGTTGAGTTTTTAATTACTGTACAAAATTGCAGACAATTTGCTTTAGTTTAAGCACTTTAACTATTCACGCAAACTTACATTTTTTCCTAAAAAATCAGCCTTTTGCATGCTTAATTTAATTATGCGTTTGCTTAATTTGCTTATGTCAGCAACATGCAAATTAGGTAAAGACACTAATTAAGCATGCAAAAGGCAGATTTTTTCGGAAAAAATTAATAGTTGAAGGGCTTAAACTAAAGCAAATTGTTTGAAATTTTGTACAGTAATTAAAAACCCAACAAAGTTTCCATCCATTAACTCAAAATACGATTAAAAGGTCGTATGTTCGAATCCCACCGTGGCCAGGCATATTTTTCAAGCCTGCCCGGTGTGGATTATTTTGACAGTGGATATACACTCAGAGTACCATCACACACGCATCTTATTCACCTGAGTACATTACACCAACACAGCAAATTTCATACGATTAAAGCTTTTAAATTTCGTGTGCAAGCCATTTTTAATTTGTTGGACCCCCCCCCTGGTTTACAAAATTTGAGTCTGAGAAATTTTTTTCATTATTCTATATGATAAGTACCCAAAGAAACTATATATATCAAAAGTAGATACTAATAGCTGTTTTGCGAAATTGAGAGCAATTTCAAATCTGTTCAGTTTTTTTTTATACACCCTGTATTTTAGGTTTTGATAATAAAGTTTTCTTAAGTTGTGTTATTGTACACACCGTAATATGTTAAGTCTTAAATCCGTCTGACCGTGTAGCTCAGTTGGTAGAGCGTCGATCTAGTAATTCGAAGGTCGCGGGTTCAAGACCCGCAGCCGCGGCAGCCAACATCTTTCTGCTTGCGCTGCAGGGTATGGAAATTATATAATACACACTCTAGAACATTTTCATCTTAAAATAAAGTTTTCATTCACAGTCGTGTAGTAAAGGAGATGACATATTAATTCTTACGACACAGCACGAGTTTCACCTGTGACCACAGGACGTCGACAAGCCGCAGTAGGAGACTGAGCAACTGTGATAATTTGTCTAAACACTTTAATACATTATTTTCCCTCGACTTAGTATATATAAATATATTATAACATCCATTTAAAACTAGACCCCGTTTTATGATAGTGTAAACTCTTTATGGAAAAGAAAAGTTTTCTTTACTCGGAATATGAGAATAATATATGAAACTTAGTTGTTTTTATGAAATAAATATTTCTTCAGCAAATTAAACGAGATCAAAAGTGGTGTCGAGTGAGATTCGATAAGAGGCCAATATCAATCAACAATGATATAAACCGAGCATTTTCCTTTTGCGAACAAAGTTTTGCTAGCTGCAAAAACACGCAAATTTTCTAATCTCGACTCGGTTAAGACTTAAGATTAGTGATAAGTGCTACGAAAGGATACAATGTCCACATAATAAGAAATTGTTGAAATAATATACATAAATTATAATAGTTCTAACTTCAGTTCTATTAATCATGATATTCATTGCTTAATCTTTATGAAAAGAATGAGATGGTATCGGCAAATTCATTTTTCCTTAGGCTATATAATGATCAAGCTCATGATAACGATTTGGGGTAATTCTGCTTCAATCAGTTGGATGATTTCAACGAACAATATATCAATAGGTACTGTCTCTTATAATTCAGTATTCCTAGTTGTAGCTATATCTGCAATGGCAATGCTAGAAAGGGGTTATAGTAAGTTTGTTATACGAGCACATATAGTCATAGTGAGATTTTTATATGCATTACAGCGAGGACAATACTCAATAGCATAGTGAACATTCATATGGGTAATGGTTCTGTCAATTTCAAAGATAAGAATAATTCTCGACGCTTCGATCAATATTACGATAAATTGATGTGCAAGTTAATTTTTGGTTTTCTGCCGGCTTCGATACTTTTACAACAATAGACAATAAAGTAACACTCAATAGATCACTGTCAATCGCATAATTATTACTTTGACTTTGTAAAATCTTCTTTGCTGACCAATACATGCAGATCTGAAGAAGAAAATTTAAACTCACTCAATTCTCAATTGACTAAAAAAAATTGAGTATAAATTTGCATGCTCATAGACATATAGTCATAGATTTAAGTCACTTTACTCAACATTTCAAAAACAAAGTGTATTACTTTTATTACTCGACTCGAGTCAAAATACAGTACTCAGTCAAGGATTTTTTGCAGTGCGCGCCATTAGCGTCGCGAATAAAACTTGTAGAAAACCTGATCGTCTTCAACCGGCTGTGCAGTATTCCGTGTGATATATAGCTATAAATTAATCCCTTGCAAAAGTGGGATTTACTCCTCCTTGACCTTACAGTTATACACGATCCTGTTTCTTAGTAAATTGATACAAACACGCACGCAGGTTTTCCACTAATTCGCCTTGTAGAAAAAGGGCTAGGCAATGCCGCAACTTGCAACGCACTTTCTGGCATAATCATAGACATAGAGCGATGCCAATGGCCAATGCTATCCAAAAAGCTGTCGCAGGGAATGTTCCACGCTTTATTCTATTTTCCGACATTTTTCATCCCATTTCTTAACAAACACAAACTATACTATTAGAAAGTTCACAAAAAAGTATATATAAGACATGCTGGCAACTACAATAGTACTATTTTGCCAACTTTAAGTTCCTTTATTATTCTTTAACTCAAAACTGGGTTGAAAATTCGCACTATACTTGCTTAAGTGACTTATATATACTTTTTTGCGAACTTTCTGGACTTTATTGGGCAAAGATACAAAAAATTCTACAATTTTAAAATTCTAAAATTTTCGGATGTAGCTAAAGCCAAAATCAGAGGCGAGATCCGAGGTGCCAAACATGTTTAGTCTTGGTCTTGTTCACCAATATTCGGAAGCTATAAGAAAATGCCAGTTGGCAGCTTGTATAACAGAAAATCAGCGCCATCAGAGTACAACTTTCAGAGAGTTTTGGAACAAGACTCAATTTTTGTCTTACATGAGGAAATAAAGCTTGTCAAGGAAAGTCCTTACCGTAAACCTTACCGTCTGTACCGGTAACAAAAAACCAGATAAGTTACTCAATAACTTTATATCTTTTGTGTGTTTATGTTGATGTTATGTACTCAGGTGAATATGATGTTTGTGATGTTACTCTGAGTGTGCATCCACACCGGGCAAGCTGAAAAGTTTGCGTGTGGACTAGTCAGTATTCCAAAAACTCAAAAGGTCGCGGATTTAATTCCTATACTGTCAGCCGGTCAGGCAAACTTTTCAGCTTGCCCGGCGCATCAAACACACCAAACACCACAAACATCACTACTTTATATTTTTCTAACCTTCGTATATGACCTATACTATATAATTGTCATATGTACCATTCCGGTTCTTGTCAAAAGCACTTCTGTGGCACTTGTGAGACTCGTCATGCATGGCTAATTAAAATACAGTAATATATTTCAAAGTTTCCTACCTTCGGTGGTTTATACGGATAGTCTGGAGGGAAATGTATGTCGAGAAAGAAAACTCCTCGTTCGTAAACTGAGCCTGGTGGACCCATTATCGTCGAAACCCATTCATAAATATTGTCGCCTTTTGGTGCAGCGCTATAAGAAATGAAACAAAGAAATACGTTAAAGCCCGATTTATAATGGACAAGTTTTTCTAAAACTGTCGCATGCAACTTTCTTACAACTGAGTTGTACTGTGTAAATCAAGCATACAACTCACATACAATAATATGTGTTGTTAAAATGCATACTTTTCCGGAATACATTACTCATTAGTTTTACGCCGCATATACATCTCCTAAAACATGTGGAGCAGCTAACTTACTGTGAGCGTGGAGTTTCAGTTAATAATGGCTGCGCCGAATGGACATTCGACGATTGCATTCGACGATTGGCTGAAATGTACATTTTTTAGAATTCAGTCTAAACTTTGAAGCGGTTCATTCTCACCGACTGGATGACTATAGTATAGACTATACTATAGTGATCTTGATTCTTGACTGCGTGAAAAGCAAGTCCTTTGGCTTTGGTTAAACTCTTACCAGCTTTGCAACACAGAGATCAAAGAACGTCTTTCGTTTGTGATTGTAGCTATAAAACTCCTAAAACCTACACTTGTTTTGAGACAAGCTGTACTCAGACTATACTTTACTCGACTGTAACGATAATGTACCAGAAAATACTTGTATATTTGAAGAGGTTACATCTGCACTGAGAACCAACAGTTCAGTTTATATGGGCTTTTGATAGGCTAGTGAGAATCTATCACAAAGGACGTGTATTTCAAGATCACACTACCAATACGCTGAGAATCATGTTAGGCTGGCTGAAATCTGCCACAAAGTCAAAGAACGTGGATTTCAAGATCACACTATACCTATACACGCTGAGAATCAAGTTAGACAGGCTGGAATCTGCCACAAAGGACGTGTATTTGAACGACTATTTGAAGACTGCCATACCTACACTGAAAACCCACAGTTTGAAGTTTAGACTATAGTATAGAGTATGCATGAGTATAGACTACCACAAATGATGTGTATTTCTACGCGGAGAATTACCCAACGCAACTGAGCCAAGGCCAAGAGATCTATCACAAAGGATTTACATTTAATTTTAAAATTCCCCTAAAATACATACGACACGAAAACTCATTACTCAGATATTTTCAAAAACCAAAAAGATAGATGTGTTTGTTTTCATTTTCGATATTATCTTTAGCCACTTTGCCTCAATCAAGCAGCTTATGTTACATGCAAAGATGATTCAAATTTATGAACAGTGAATATTATCCTTCAAATGATTTAATCTCAGCACAAATAACTCATATACTGCCTTCGCTTTTATGTTAGAATCTTGCCAGCCTAAACTTTACCTTATAAATGTGTTAGAGTCTTATTAGTGAGTTAAACATACTGTACAAAACCTCAAAATTTGCCCCCGACTATCTATTGATACGGTTGGCTACTCAGTAGGGCTATTAACCTTTCAAAATTCAGGCTAGCGAGCATCCAACAAAAATATTCCGACCTCTGACATACTAAAATTGCCGGGCGAGCAACTGCAACTGCAACGCGCCCCCAACATGTTAACCAAGTGCAAAGTTTATTCTAACACACAATTGCTACATTTCTCGCGTGTTGCGTCTCAATCATTCATTTCACAGAAATTCAACACTCAACTATAGAGGGTTTTGATTAAAACCTTGGTATTCGCCGCTATTCATGTTCAAACATGATCGACATTTCATGCGGCTTTGTCCGTAATCTATATTGTAAATCTAAAAATACTCTATAATGTTGCTATTATATATAATTCTATAGCCGTGAATGTGGAAGTAAAATAATGCCCTAAGAATAATCTTTCGGTTCAATTTGGGATTACTTTCGTTCAGTTTCAAGATATGTAGCGACTAGTCTAGTGTTACAGACTTAGTTTTATCAAAAGTAAAATAGTTCTAATATTGCTAAACAAAGGACACGCAAATAATCAGATACCCACGTGCCATTATTTTCAAATATCACTCAATATATGGAGTTATGTACTCCTAAATTAAGTAATAATTCATCACAGAATTCCTAGCTATCCTTATCGACTTTTGCTCAGCCTTCTTATGTAACGTTGGGTTCGTTTGATAAATTATCAGCTCTCAATAAGCGGACGTCTGCACTGTCATTGTTCCGGGTATTAACATGAAATAATTTCAAGTACTTTACTTTTCTTTTACTCAGTGTTTAGTCAAAAATATTCGTGTATCAAACGTTCGTACCTGCAGTTCGGAGGAGGGTCTAATGTGATATCAGCCAATTCCCGTTGAATTCTAGAGCGAGAGATGCATATACAGATTGATAAAAGTACATTGAATACATGACCGCTAATAAACGCCAAGTAAACTGTTTAAATTCAATAAACGTGTCATAATATGCCCTGTCTTGTTCAAAGACAATGGCGACATTTGCAAGGCTTAACTACACTCTCGCTTTTCTCGCGTTTCCCTAGACGTACGCTAGTCAAAATACATTCAAATGAAAGAGAAATGAAAGCTCTAAACAGCTGTCGTATTTAGAAAAGCGTTCTGTGGACGACATCACCGTGCGAAGAGCTTAAAGTTAAGATGCAAATGAACCATACGAGGGCGTCATTCTCACTGACTGGGAGGGCTTGTGTGATAAAGTGTTGAGAATAAGCTCTGCTTGTGTACGGTATAAACACGGATAGTCAACAAAATTATCTTCGAATGATTGTGAATGAAACAGAGCTTGGCTGAAGCTACATTTCAGACGTTGGTCTCCCTCTGATACCTTTTAGCAGCAGTTGAACGTGTCTTGGGTGCTCGTGAGGCACTTGATTTCGATTCCTTCTTAGCTGCAGCTGCTCTCGAGCTTGTACTGCTGCTAGCTTGTTCCTCGCTCGATTCCTGGTTACTTCTTGAAGGTCCCTGGCCATCCAACATTTTTCTTACTTGGTTTATAAATAAGTACGAAGATCAGAGCCAGTGGATAATTGCTAAGAGGTCAAGCAGTCCTTCGCCTTGGATGAGCTACAGTAGGTCAGCACTCTGTTCCTAATTCACTTTGATTCTAGCAAGGAAATCTTCACACTTCCTACGACTTAGACCACGTCTTGTACTATCTCTATTGATCAGAATCGTGCTCAGGAGCTACACATCTTTTCCAGTGAGAAACAGTGGTTGGCCTTGAATCGGGAAGATATGAAGTATATGGCTTCACTTTAATAAAGGCAGAAATGTACAAACGTATAGAGATATCAGCTTCTCGGATCAAAGCCCGCAATAACGACTCTTTGAATAGTTACCAGTTGTATAAATCTCTCAGTAAAGCTGTATTCAGGAGTACAGAATGAGGCGGTCAGACTAACTCCTTGTCTCTATTCCTGTACGAAGTATTACTTGATACACTATAGCTGGCCGCGAGCCCAATCTCCCAGCAAATTTCTGTCAATTCACCGTGTCATCAAGCAGTGGACCAATTAACAGAATAATGACATGCAGCCCGGAGCTCTGCTCAGAAACTATATCGTATTCACGCCGACCAATCCTGACACGGCGAAGCTCAAATATTGAATTAATTTCTTAGATACGAGTGTTACTTTACACCTTACTGTTGAATGTTCACGACTCTTGTTTATATAGGTCATTAAATTCGGAATCATGCAAGCTGTGTAAAAGCATAATTCCCTCGATATGTGCACAGTTAATGTGTTATCTGCAAATATTCCACTATAAATCTCTCTGTGATTATCTGTACTAACATTGCATGGATTATATTGCAAATATAAGCATGCAAACGTATTGCATTTTCGTTTTTAATGGCCAAATATAGAAAAGAGATGTCTTAATTAAATCTTGCTTGAATGCTTGAGGTGGATCGACTAGTTTATCTAAGCTGTATTGAGAGACAAGCTGAATAAGCTGAGCATTTAAAACCTTATAGGTATGAGGAGTGCTCAACAGGCATCAACATGCATCATTTTAAATTCTAAGACTATAAAGTCTAACGCCATGTTACCGAGACAATTTTTGCTGCAACTTGCCAGTTGCCACGCAATTTCGGATAAAACGTGATGTTATGAACTAAACTGGTCTCGATATTTGCTATAATAAGGGATGAAAAGGATAGAAATTGTATGAAATATGTGGGCAGACTAAGCCAAGTGCACACTGGAGCTATCAGCTGAGCTGTCCCCTAGTGTGCGGTGGCGTTTTGAGCGATTTCAGCCACGCGTGCCATCGGCAACGAATATTCGGATAGTTGAATAATTTCAGTCACGAATGAACATTTCAAAACAGTACCGATTGATACACCGAGTGGAAAGCGTAATTTAGGAACGAAAATTAAAGCCCAGCAAATGACTTTCAGACAAGACATAACAAAAATATAAAATTTATTGGCTAACGTTTCGTTGTATTGTTCACAACATCTTCAATTGCTCTGAAGATGTCGTGAACAATAGAACGAAACGTTAACCAATAAACTTTATATTTTTGTTAAGTCTCGTCTGAAAGTCATTTGCTGGGCTTTAATTTTCATTTTTAAATGAACATTTTCTCGAAATGTGCGCGCTCGAAAAGATAAAACGTAAAATAAAACTGGGTCAGGGGGAACTTGCTTAGGCCAACAGTCACGAGTGACGCTCAGCTCAGCTGATAGCTCCAGTGACGGTGTGCGCTGGGCTTAGTCTGCCTACATATTTCATACAATTTCTGTCATTTTTCATCCCTTATTATAGTAAATATGCGAGACCACTTTAATTCATAACATCGCGTTTTATCCGATATTGCGTGGCAAATTGTAGCAAGAATTCCCTAAACGTCGAATTTCGGTTTAATTCGTTGAATAATGCTTCTGGCAGAAGTCTTTTGATTCGAGAGAAATGAATGTTTTAAGTGGTTTCACTTCGTCGACGTCGGGCGCTTTCCATTCACCACTGGCAAAATGGAACGCTATATACAGCGTGACATATGCCTTGTAAATAATGGGAGGCTTGTTGGGAGCTTTCCATTTGACGGAAATTCCGGAAATCGTGCTTGAAAATCAAATGGAACATTCGGCGAAATAAGTCCAGACTCGAGGCACTGAAATGGTAACCAGAAAGAACCAGAAAGAACCAGCAACGTGGTTGGGAAATGTTTTAATGGAATGTAAAAATTTCGAAACTTCCGGAATTTCCAATTTGTGGACAACCTCGAGGGTTGTCCGAAATTTTCGAAACAGCATTCCAGAAATGATCGAACGTGTTCCATTTGTTCCATTTGATTTTGAAGCAAGATTTCCGGAATTTCCGTCAAATGGAAAGCGCTCGTCGTGATTCGGACAGAAATATTTCGACTTTTCTCACTCGTTGCGATTGGCGAGGGGATTTCCCAACACTAATTAGGCTATTGCCATTTGCAATTGATATTAAAGGGATCCGAGGTACCTACAATTCTAACGTCCTTATCCGAGAAGTCACGAGAGTTTAAAAAGCAGGCCTTACTATGGACTGTGTTAGGTCATGTGGCACTCAGTAGGCATTAAAGTACTGCGTTTTGTTAAAAACAGTCGAGATTTATCAAGAAAAAGGTAAAATGTACTCATCCCTTCTCTCGACTTTTGTTTTATTGACATTTATGAACTGATGTGCTGTGACTCCGTGTTCTACATAGTCAGCGAACCCAGACATCATTCAGTCCCACGCTCATTCTTTGCGGCTCGGAAAGTTCTACAGGGTGTCTCAAAAAACTGCGATCCTTTGAAATCGGATATTCTTAGAATTTGCATCAATTCTCACAATTCAGCACTAATGGATCCCAAGGGTGCGTAAACACAATAGAAAGGAATTGCATGCTTGGGGATGTTTTCCTGATATAGGAAAACACAAAGAGAAATCATAAGCGTGGCGTGTCTTTATATGTGATAAAACACGCTTCAAATTTCAACTTGTATTTTCTCAGCTAATACAAAGTTATTTTGGAAAATTATTTCGCCAATGCCGTGATCTAAGGGACCGGTCATAAAGTAACTGCTAGGGTGGGCTGGAGTGATTTGGGATGGGCCATGGAAAATCTTTGGGCAGTTTCGATGGGCCACCAATTTTCTTTGTATGTCCACAGTTGGGTCACCAAACAAAAACCCATGCATGTCTACTTCAAAAAATAAAGATATTAAAAATAAAAGTAAACAAAACTATCCAAATTATCAAATGCAAATTATGCTATTGAAGCCAGTACTTTGTTTATACAACAACAAGTAGTAGTCGAATCACAGCAAATACAACCAACTGGAGAGCAGCTCAGTATCGTAATTGGTGAGGAATGTGTTTGTCAAGCTTGGTGGAATTCAATTATGTATGTCAATACAGTGCCGGTGTACAGTATATTTACAATGTTCATATACCTGCAAGTTTTTTTTTTGTTATAAAAGTATATTTTCCCAATTTAGATTGGGTGGGTCATGAAAATTTTTTTGTAAGATTAGATGGGCTTTGAAATTTTTATCTACATCCTGAGATGGGTCACCAAACTTATTGGCAGAATTTGTGATTTGCCTCCAGCCCACCCTAGCAGTTACTTTATGACCAGTCCCTAACTGAGACGTTTTTGAAGCTGTTTAATAAACTCGTAGTTCGTGTTTTATCACATATAAAACACTCCGCTACGCGTCGTGTTTTATATGTGATAAAACACTCCTACTCGTTTATTAAACAGTACATAATGTGGCGACAATTAGAATGTATTTTCGGCAAACCCAGGATCGAGCATAATAAGTTGCACAGGCATTGAAATGCTAATAGCAGCGCCGGCTGTTATGCAAATTATAGGATTGCAGTTTGTTTGAGACACCCTGGGGCCGGTTGCTCAAAAGTGGGTCAGCGCTAACCCTGGGTTAAAATTTAACCTCCTGTTTTAGTTTATATATTTCTACACGTCTGTTTATTTCAAAACTTCAGAGATGAAAACTCCTATCGATCCAGACGAGATCTCTGAAAAAATATTTCCAAATTTATAGACAAGCTGTCAGGAAGGTATGCTTTGAATTTTAGGATAACCTAGGGTTAAGCTAACCAAGCTTTGAACAACCGGCCCCTGGAGAGCTTGGTTTCCATATGGTCGCAAACGTGTCGTGTTTGTCATGAATGATTTTTATGCTTGTTTCAAAATTTTTATTTTTGACACGTTTCTCAATCTGCAAACAAACTTAAAAAGTATGTTTAGTGCTTTATCTGTAAAATAATGCTAAAACGAAGAGATTTTAGATGATACGCCAAAGGGAAAATGATGTCTGAAGTTCAGTAAGTTTTGCTTATATGGCTGTAAATATGGCGTCAATTTTAAAGCATCATTGATAATTGTATTTTAATTGACAATTTTTAACTATTATTTTATGTTTCTCAACCGGCAGATGCATTTAAAAAGGTAGCTAACTCTATAAACTAGAGAATAAAGCTAAAACAAAGTAATTTTGAGAGGAACGCCAAAAAGATTTTAGGTTTTGAACGCTTTTCATTGCGAATACGTGACATTGAAAAAAATTGCCTCTTAAAACATAACCCTCACCACACGTTTTTAGCCTGTCGCAACTGTCGTCGAGATAGAACTCTAGTCTATCTCAATGATGTTGCCAGCGCGCCGTGTCGCGACAAGACTTTTCTTTATGTTTCCATTTGGTCGCGAACACTACCGTCTGACGACAGGTTACAAACATATGGAAACCTGCAACAGATATAGTGTGATACTATAATCTATCACATAATCTATAATCTATAGTATCATCTATGTTATTATAATCTAGTAGTTTCGCTACATTTTTGCATCATATAAATATGAACAACCCTTGAGAAAATTATGTTAATTCCTTTCATTAGATCAGTGTATATATAGTCCTATAATCTTGTATATGGTAGCAGTAGATAAAGTTGAAAGATTTAGTTTAATTTTCGTGGTCCTATGCTGGGTGTCCCAAAAATGCAATATAGCTATAATATGTTACAGATTTTCACGGGCAATCACGGCTAATTATAAGTGCATGGGCATCGAAAATTCAATCTAAGATTTCTAAGAGACCAATTTTAATAATCTGAGTCTCAAAATTCATCGGATTTGTTGAAGTTAATTGGTTGTTTTCATAACTTTGTTGGAAAGTATATGTGTATTATCTATATGTGCTTTAATAGCCCAATTGCAAAGAATGTTATCTGATGCTGTCCATAGATTATCATAAGTTGCACACATGCCATGTGTCGGAAATTGTCACTATAGTTTTAGCTAAGTTGTGCTGCTGCCAAAAGTGCTGTAGCCAAGAAATGTTAATAATGTTATTGTAGTTGTATTTGATCTAAATCAGGGACGCCGGAGCGAGGGTAGGGCAGAGGGGGCAATGTTGACGTGAGGGCAATCACTATATTTCGTTATTCACCAAAACAAGGGCAAAAAATTTTGAAAAATATTATTTTTGACACAACATTCCAGAAAATTTCACATATATTTCAATATTACGTACATTTCACCCGTAATTCATACTTTTTAATCGTTATACCAATTTTTATCTATAAGGGCACTTTCGCCCCCCCTGCCCCCTTACTAAAGAGCAAGGGGGGCGATGCCCCCCCCCTACGCCCCCCCTTTCCGGCGTCCCTGATCTAAATTGTGTAAAGTAAATGTGTCATTGTGGTTTCCCGACCGAAACTATATATTGGTAGGAACAGTTTTTGGGTCAGAATGAACAGATAACTCAGAACTGATTAAAATCAGTTTAAAATGGCTCTTAGTCTTGCTACTCCAATCTCTTGCTTTTTTTAATAATAGCGAGGTTTGAATGTGGCATCCGCCACCATTTCGCTGCCTCTCGCTGACCTAGTATACGCTGTACGCATATAATTTGGTTTGTTTGGTAAAAACGTATTGATTGTTTTCAGTCTTTTCATGGTCCTTAAAGTGCCTATGAGACGAAATTTCACCCCAAAGCCAGGTTTATGGTTGCATTGTAAAGATCACTTAAAATGACTTAATAATTTCTTTTATAGAATTTTGGTAACTTGCTCCCCCGACTTGCTCCCTTTTCAAGATATTCAACTTTGTTTCATATGATTAGACATATGCAAATATGACTGGTGGCGATGTGACATCACATCACATAATGAGTTTTCAGAAAAGTATAGTTTTCTTGACGAATACGTATCTAAAAAAACTGGTGTAATTAACCCTCTGTATTTGTTTGTAAAAATATTTTATCAAGGTAAAATATTGCGTTTTCAAAATGTCATTATGCGATGTGATGTCACACCGGTGATATTTGCACATGAAACAAAGTTGAATATTTTGTAAAGGAAGCAAGTTACCAAAATTCTATATAAAAGAAATTATTAAGTCATTTTAAGTGATCTTTACCGAATGCAATCATAAACATTTGGGGTGAAATTTCGTATCATAGTCACTTTAAGCCTCGCGCACACGAGAGCTAGTCTGCTGAGCAAAAACTCACTCGTGACCATTGGGCATTGGCATAATCCGTACGTTCCGCCAGTGTGCGGCGACGTTTTACTGCAAGAAAGATCTATTGGTCCAACATATATAACTGGACAAATTTCGGCACTGACTGGAACAATTTTATTCGTGGGATGACGCTAAAGACTAAAAACAAAACAACATGGCAGCTTGTCAATGATTTAGGACGGCTTTCGTTTTGACGGTTTTTCATATAGCTGGAAACGTTTCAGAGAGAATTTCAGATTAAAATTCATACGAATAACGCACGACTTTCGTAGTGTACACACGTAAAAACGCACAAGTTGTTACAGGTCTGCAAACAAGTTGTTACAAATCTGTTCACAAGTTGTAACAAACCTGCAGCAGATTTGTTGCATTGCTGTTCCAACAACTTATCAACAGGATGTGTTCGCACTGCTTGTTCCCAGCTTGTTGACAACTTGCTACAAGGTTGTTGAGCTCAACAGACTTGTGACAAGTTGTTCCACCAACTTGTTATCGTCCTGCAATTCAACAACTTGTCAGCAAATTGTGAGTGACAACCTTGTGGCAACTTGATAAAATAACAGCATTGTTGCGACTTGTTGACAAGCTTGCTAGAAGCCTGTTGCGAACACATCTTGTTGACAAGTTGTGAGATTTTCACGTGCGTAGTTTACACACGTAAAACGCACAAGTTGTAACAAGGCTGCAAACAAGTTGTTACAAGTCTGTTCACAAGCTCTCAACAAGTTGTGTTCGCACTGCTTGTTCCCAGTTTGTTGTAACAAGTTTGAAACAAGCAGTTAACAACTTGTAACACGCTTGATCGCATTATCAGCCTTGTTACAAGATTGTGCTAACAAGTTTGTTACAGCCATGATATAACAAGGATGTTACAAGGTTGTCAACACAAGGTTGTAACAATATTGTTATATCAAGCATGTCACAGACTTGTCAGAACAACCTTGCAACAAGTCTGATAATTTCGACAAGGTTGTTACAAGTTGTCAACAAGTTGTTCCAAACCTGTTGACAACTTGTGACAAGCAGTGCGAATACATCTTGTTGACGGCTTGTGAACAGACTTGTAACAAACTTGTGCGTTTTTATACGTGTGTAGTTCTTAGGAGGCGAGTTACCCGGCAAGGCGAGTTACTCGGCAACGCTTTGCCCGAATAACTCGGCCGCCCGAGATAAAATAATGTATGTACTTTGCATTTGAAATATAATAGCTCAAAAATACATACGAATCGATAGATAAGTTTACCCGAATTGCTCGGCGCTTATTCTTGTATTTTGGCGACATTTGGTAATGTTTTTTTAACGTTTCAAACGACTTAAATCCTTTTTGTGTTTTGGCGCCATTTCGGCGTCATGCGGTAATCATGCAGCAAATGTCGAGTACACAGGCAACATCTTGTAGTCTCATCGAGCTCACATCTTGTAACAAGTTTGTCAACAAGCCGTCAACAAATTGTCTTCGCACTGCTTGTCACAAGTTGTCAACAAGTTTGGAGCAAGCTGTTAACAACTTGTAACAACCTTGTTGATATTATCAGGCATGTTACAAGATTGTTCCAACAAGTCCGATACAGTCATGATATAGCAGTATTGTTACAACCTTGTGTCGTCAACTTTGTAGCATTCTTGTTTATCAAGACTGTATCAGACTTGTTAGAACAACCTTGTGACAAGTCTGATAATGCCATCAAGTTTGTTACAAGTTGTTAACTGCTTGTTCCAAACTTGTTACAACAACTGGGAACAAGCAGTGCGAACACAACTTGTTGACAGCTTGTGAACAGATTTGTAACAACTTGTTTGCAGACTTGTAACAACTTGTGCGTTTTTACGTGCGCACACACACAAAAATCTCACATATTGTAACAAGTTTGTCAACAAGCCGTCAACAAGTTGTGTTCGCACTGCTTGTGCCAAGTTGTCGACAAGTTTGAAACAAGCTGTTAACCGACAATTTGTAACAACCTTGCTGGTATTATCAGGCTTGTTACAAGGTTGTTCCAACAAGTCCGATATAGCAGTATTGTTACAACCTTGTGTCGTCAACCTTGTAACATTCTTGTTTATTATGACTGTATCAGACTTGTTAGCACAACCTTGTGACAAGTCCGATAATGCCATCGACCTTGTTACAAGTTGTTAACAGCTTGTTCCGAACTTGTTACAACAGCTGGGAACAAGCAGTGCGAACACAACTTGTTGACAGCTTGTGAACAGATTTGTAACAACTTGTTTGCAGACTTGTAACAACTTGTGCGTTTTTACGTGTGTACACACGCAAAAATCTCACATATTGTAACAAGTCTGTCAACAAGCCGTCAACAAGTTGTGTTCGTACTGCTTGTCCCAAGTTGTCGACAAGTTTGAAACAAGCTGTTAACCGACAGTTTGTAACAACCTTGCTGGTATTATCAGGCTTGTTACAAGGTTGTTCCAACAAGTCCAATATAGCAGTATTGTTACAACCTTGTGTCGTCAACATTGTAACATTCTTGTTTATCACGACTGTATCAGACTTGTTAGAGCAACCATGTAACAAGTCTGATAATGCCATCAAGCTTGTTACAAGTTGTTCACAGCTTGTTCCGAACTTGTTACAACAACTGGGAACAAGCAGTGCGAACACAACTTGTTGACAGCTTGCGAACAGATTTGTAACAATTACTTGTTTCCAGACTTGTAACAACTTGTGCGTTTTTACGTGTGTAACTCGATCCATATAAACAGAGCGCTTGTTTGTCCCGCCTGGACGAGTAACTCGCGTTTGTCGGGTAACTCGCCTCCATATAAACAAGCCCTTAGTGGACTAAATTATTAATATTTTGGCATGATCAAAATGGGGTTTTAATTCTAGTTGACTAAAACAACACTACAAGGACAAGGTAGGTAGTTCGACTATGCTAATTTGCTGGTGATTTTAGCCCCCACCAAGTCATACAAACTGACCAAAACCAATTTACAAGACTTTTTTTCCAGAATTTTTCAATTCGGTGGCGGAAAGTGCAGGAAATTGCATTTCCGAGCCTCAAATATTTTTAAACTTTTCAAATTCAAATTTTTTCCCGACGAAGAATTTGTGTTGGCCAAACACATTTTATAAATTTTTCTTTTCGCGGAAAATTTTCTTGAGTGGAAGTGGGCAACATATTCTGTAAATATCGGTAAAGACCTATTTTCAGAACCTATAAACATCCTATACACTATAGTGTGTATGTATATTTTTAAGTTCTGCTGAATTTAAATACCAAAATTTGAATAATTAGATGGATCATTCACGAAAGTTTGTACATGTACACAATATTTGCAACAAATTATTTTAATTAGTCGGAAGTTGTCGTGAAGCGATCGTAATATTACGTAAGCGTGTGGACGTGTCAACAACATTTGCCAACACAACCATATATTCCACATTTTTATTCAAACGTTTGTATTATTTCACAAAACTGGAGATTTTTTCACAGTCATGGAACTGAAAACTATTATTCTTATCGGTGGACCTCAAAAAGGTAGTATTAAACATGTGATAATTGCTTATTTTGCATACCGAATATGAAAATTATACAGTACTATGAGATATCTATGATTCCAATCATTGGGATGCTGGTATTGTAAATATTTTTAACCTTAGCTTTTGACAGGCACGAAATTTATTTAATGCATTCCATAGAAATAGTGGTTTAAATTCATGCCATAATTTCCTTGGTATTAACTTTATTTCAGTTGTCTTGTTTATATATACTGTATATTTTCAACAGAAATATGTCTGACATTTTACCATCGAATAAAATGGTAAAATGCACTTATTTTGACCTGGATATAAAGTTTAATGGTAAAGATTTGACTACCACTACCTCTTACTGGTCTAATACGCAATCGATTGGTTAATTGACCATTTGCGTAATAGACTAAATTTTGATCTAAACAAGTCTAGACAAAAATTTCATCACAGCTTGAAAGAGCATCACAATTAAATTAGTAATATTCCAAAGTTTCATTGCGAAATGTTGTAAAATGTGGAAAATATAGCCTTGCGAAGTTTGCAATTTTCAGTCATTTTAGATTACAAACGGGAAATTGACAGCCTCAAAGGGTTTGGGGCTGTCAATTTCCCATCTGTAATCTAAAATGACTGAAAATTGCAAACTTCGCAAGGCTATATTTTCCGCATTTTACAACATTTCGCAACGGAACTTTGGAATATTACTAATTTTGTGATGCTCTTTCAAGCTGTGATGAAATTTTTGTTGAGATCAAAATTTAGTCTATTACGCAAATGGTCAATTGGATAGATAAATTAAACAATCGTTAATGGTAGTGGAAATCAAAATCTTAATGTACCTCTCTAATTCTGTATTGTCTAGCCCAAAACATACACTATATAGTGTGCAATCCGAAAATGTCTTTTACAGGCTCAGAAATTGGCCATACTAAGCTCTCTATAAGGGGCGACATCCATTATTCAAGTTGCCACGCAAAATGTCAAATTGTCATTTTGGGCAGGTAGGTGCAGAGTTTGAACGGACAGCGTGCAATGTGTAACTTGCACATCATTTTGGCCCATGTGCAAACTACATTTTGCAAGCTATGAAATGAAGGCCAAACTATCGGATTTTCAAACTATCGGATTATGGCTGAAAATACAGTATCAATATTCAAGAAATTCACACAAAATGCCACCATTTTTTAGATAGAAACATCAATTTGACATAGCAACTTGAACATGGACGTCGCCCCTAGAAAGGTCATGCAGACATGCACAGTAACCCTACAGGCAATACTGAAACCTGCTTCAAACCACCATGTTATAACCAAGGCCATAGCAAAGAGGATAAAGAAGGGGGGGGGGGGTGTAGTATCGCATTTGCTGATAACATTTCAGTCGCTAATGGGGTGGGAGAGATTGTAAAATTTTTCCGGATATTTCGTAATTTTTTCGGAAATCCGAAAAATTTTTCCAGACATCATAATTTGTTAAATTTTTCCATAATTTTCGTAAATTTGGCAAAATTTTTGCTATAACAATTACTTTTTTAATTAATCCAAGCCACTTATAATAAATATTTTTGCTGACTACGAAAACAATTTGCCGATAAATCTGTTATGTTGCTGACAAGACGTTTTCATGGGGGTGTCACACTCTATAGCGATGGCCCTGGTATAACCCATTGAGCACCAAGTGCTCTACCCTTGAAGAGTAAAATCACGGGACAATGCAACTTAATTGCATGGATTAACTGTAGATTGTTAACCCACTGAGTTGCATTGTGCTCTGATACACCCTACTTTATCATTTTATTCTGTCTAATGCCGGATGATTTTACTTGTCAAGGGGAGAGTGCTGGCGCTTAATGGGTTTTCGTCAACAACTGTTTACTTCACAAGCCCTAGGATGAGCAAATGATAATCCCTTATTATATGATCGTTACAGGAACAAGATTCCGACCACTTTCGTTGGAACTTCCCAAACCACTATTCCCAATAGCAGGCTATCCTCTTATCCATCACCATATCGAGGCATGCAGCAAGGTATGTTCATTTATAAAATAAATACTGCTTTGTATGACAAAATAGATTATCCACAAGAGAATGTTTACCAACGACTTGATAAACATTTTAGGTACCCAACATGAAGGAAATTGTCTTAATTGGTTACTACCAACAGAATGAATCATTATCAAGATTTATTGCATCCGTACAACATGAATTCAATGTTCCTGTACGGTATGTATGCAGAATATAATGCTCTGATCGACAAGTAGAAGACAGAAGTTATCTAGTTATTGCATCATTGTTTTAACTGCAGGGCAGCAGATACAGTAGACTTGCTCCAAGTCTCTCTTTCATTGTCATATACAGTAGTATCTATCCACTATAGTGTACATTACATGACGTAGTACAGAGGGGCGGAGCGAGAAAGAGAGACTTGTCAACTTCGGAAAATATCGGTTCAAAACTGAACTGAAAATTCAAGAGTTGCTTTAATTGTTTTCTGTCAGTGTTAATTATATGTATTGATCTAGCACAATGTAAATAACATGAGTTCCATTATAGTAAATAATACAGAAAGAAATTGAAGGAAAACAATTAAAGCAAGTCTTGCATTTTCGGTTCATTTTTGAACAGAGATTTTCCGAAGTTGACAAGTCTCTCTTTCTCACTCCGCCTTTCCGTGCTATGTCATGTAATGTACACTATAGTGTATCGATACGACAATGAAAAAGAGACTTGAAGCAAGTCTACAGATACAGTAGTCTCAGGTCTCACAGGTGGACTTACATGTACAGCTCTCCCAGTCAGAGCTGCCAAGAGGTTGTGCTCATGGGTCCAGGGCAAAACTCCCAGGGGCTCTCATGACGTCAAAATTGTAAAACACGGGAAAGCAGTGTTTTGTGATATATTTTGCTTTTTTGAATATTAACCATCACTGTCTCAGTTAGGATTGATATTCTTGGTTGAGCAATCATTGATCCAGAAATTTTTAAGGCCTTTGTTGTTGCTTTGGATCCCTTTTATGTGCTGGGGCCTCGGGCAAAGTGCCCCTCCCTCGGCAGTCCTGCTCACGGTATTTCAGGGAAATAATAAAGGCATGCCAATTAATTGCAAAAATGATCATGCCCTTCCCACAGACCAGATAGTGACTTTTTCAACCTTGGAAAAATACTTGAAAGCTATCAAACTACGAATATCGAACTCACAATTAAATTAATAAAAAGAAACTTTATGTTATAAATACTAAAAGTTTAATCTGGGTTATAGCAATGAACAGAAAATTTTAGAAACTATCCACCTTCGTACAATTAGCCCATTATCTCTCAGAACTTCTATCCATTTGCCTCCAAATACAAGATCACTGTTCAATCAGCCAAACAAAACAAGTAATACCTAGTCCTATACCAAAATAATAAGTGAAAGCACTATCATTAGTTAATATGTAAGGATTTTTTCCCAGCTACTTACAGGAATTCCAGCCTCTTGGAACCGTTGGAGGACTTTATCATTTTCGAGACCAGATAATGCTTGGTAATCCATCAGCGCTGATAGTTCTGTATGCTGACATCAGCTCAGATTTCCCTCTGAAAGAAATGTGGGAATTTCACAAAAAGCATAATCATGGCAAACACACAGTCATGGGAACAGAGGTAGTGAGCTAGCTAACTTTTTGCTCCATCTACATCAATATTTTGTTTTCATCTCTCAATGGTCTTACCCTAAACCTCAGGATATACAGTAAGCCTTGGGCTGATAATCGTTCGTAAGCATTTTTGATGGGCATAATATGGGGGCAAGACAGCCCTGTAAGATAACTTCCACACACACACACACACACACAAAGGTTTGGCTAGATCCATTCATCCATCCCTACCATTTACTTCCACGACAAATTTGCCATACACAAGATTCAGAACTATACGTTCAAAAAATATTTTTAACATTTTTTTTAGTCCAATCCGAGTCAAGCTTCAGACAATGGAGTAATGGTGGAAGATCCTGACACACATGAAGTAGAAAATTTAAATCACTTCATGTTTTTTATTTGTGTAATTCCAATTACACTATGCCATTCTCCTTAAATTAATCTCTCAATTTTTGTTTGCCATGTGTAGTTGTTACATTATGTGGAGAAACCAGAAACGTATGTCAGCAGTTTGATTAACTGTGGTGCTTATATATTCTCACCAACAATATTCGATGCTCTCAAAGAGTTAAGACAGAAAAATGTTGAAAGATCCAGGTAGGTTTTACCATAATATGAATTCTGAAACCCAAAGTAATTTTATGTTTATAGTTAGGCTTATCTAATTAGGATTAGAAATAAGTGTGTTACCTTAGGGTGTGGGTTGGGGTTAAGGTACCGTAGGGCAAGGATTATTAGGTTGAGCCAAAGGTAGGGCAAAGGTAAAGTCTAGGTTGTACATGCAATTTTTTCTTGTGTTTCCAACGCAAGAGAAAAAATCGCACATGTACTTTGGCAATTGTTGCCAAAAGTTAAATGATTTAACGGCAATGATTGCTGAAAATATCAAATTACAACTGATTATATTTAGTCAGCCAGCCAATGAGAATTGCTTTACTTGACAAGTGGACTGGTAAATCGCATGTTTAACTCGAGCGGTAGAAGCTGCAATGTGCCCTTTATTACTTCACTCTGTTAACTAGTCACAGGGGGAGAGCCATGCACATTAATGATTAAGTGACATTTTCATATTTTATGTTTCATTGTAGTGAGCTATCATATTCAAATAATGTTGGCAGAATAATGATGGGAGAACAATTAATGCCATACTTATCTGGACAAGGAGCTGTCTATGTGTTCAAAACTAATCACTTCTGGACAGTTTTGAAAAGTGCAGGGTATGCTACAGTACACTTGACTTAAACTGATACATGCACAAGATAGTATTCCTTGTATAGGACCTATAGGTTGGTGTTGTTGATATTAATTACCACACAGTCATACATGTAACACAGAATAGAGACCATACAGAAGACGGCCTTCTTGGTTTTGCCTATGGTTTTGGCATAACTGTTGCAATGTTGTCACCATGTTCCTAGCCAGTGTGCTTATGAGAGACATTCACCCCCCTGAAAATATTCAAAATGGAACATGTTCAGGAGGGTGAATGCCTCTCATATGTGCAACATTTGGCTAGGAACATGATGAGTACATTTTGGTGACGAATCATTGCAAATCATGGTGTAGCCTGCGAACAGGCTCTCAAGCTGAATTGAGAGCCTACATCGATGACTAATGAATTTGAATATCTGCGTCTCAAATCGTGACGCGAAATTCTCATTGGTCAGATGCTATAATTTATATTATTCCGCTGAGCTCTATGTATGTCAACTGTTGCACTATGCATAAAAAACACATTAACTGATCAAATTGATCTTGGCCATCTTATCTCAAAGCACGAAATGTTCTGTTTTGAGAAAACAGTATTTAAAACATTTAAACTTTTGCTTGAATATCTTAAATTTCGAAAAACAGTATAAACTGTACGGTCTAAATTTAGTTTGCACGGTCTAAATTTAGTTTGCATGAAAGTTGTAAACAACACCATATAAGGATAGACATTCCATATTTGGAAAAATGAACGTTACGGGGCAGATATTCAAATTCATTGGTCATCGATGCAGGCTCTCAATTCAGCTTGAGAGCCTGTTCGCAGGCTAATCATGGTGTGACGGCAGTTACGTTTTTTGGCCGAGGCAGCTTTCTGTATGGTTTATATTCTGTGGTCATAACTAGTAGTTTATTCAGAGGCAAATAAAGAAGAGAGATGTATCTATCAACACTTCTAAAATTGACCATGGGTTGCTACACTATAATGCCACCAAAACCGGCCTATAAATCTAAACATATACATCTGACATGATTCCTAACCTACTAGATTTATTACTAATAGCTACATTCTGTACCTTACAGGTCCGCAATCTTTGCCAATAGAAATTTCCTTGAGTTATACAAAACAAGGCACCCAGATCGCCTCACACTAAACAAAGATAATAAGCCAACAATTATAGGTTTGTACAGTACATATTTTAGATTAAATTAATAACCTTCCTTTTACAATGTATTTATCTTTCCACACATTTCTGCTTAGGTGACGTGTTCATTCATCCTACAGCTTCGGTTGACTCTACTGCCGTAGTAAGTTTCTGCAGGTTTTTAAATTGCAAATTGAATACCAGATTTCATATAGTACACTAAAAATAAATTCTTTTGACTTGTAGATTGGGCCCAATGTGTCCATAGGCAGTGGAGTTATTATTGGTCCAGGTGCAAGGGTCAAAGATGCCATTATTTTAGATAAGGCAGAAATTAAGGTACTGTATATGAATGTCTTTGTTTTGGTAATATTGAACTCCTACTATAACTACTTAAAATTACTAATGTGCCTACTTTATTCTTTTACTCTGTCTAATGCCAGATGATTTTTCTCATCAAGGGGAGAGCACTGGCATGCACTCAATGAGTTAATCAATAAATTGAAAAAAAACAATGTTTTTAAATTAAAGATGTGGTACAGTCCGTATGTAAACAAAGGCTTTGTTTACATTTCAGTATCCAAAATATTGAATTTTATTCGACAACTATTTACTGTATATTTTCATGATTCTAGAGTATAATAAATTATCAAGAGACAACAATCAAGCTTTGCAAGAACATAAAATTAAATAAAAACCTTATAAACTGTTTGTAAATAAAAAGAGGGCTCCTTTGTGCACATGCACAGATCGGCCTGTATCACATCTTTAAGAGATGGCACTAACTTTGCACAAAAGCTGAAAAAAAAACAGACAAAGATATAATATATATTTGGCTTTGTGTTGCAGTTTCACAAAGAAATAACGTGTATGTAACAGTGGTTAAAGAAAGAGGTTTGATTCAAGCTTGAACGATTTTAAAAGTAATTCAACTTTTACTCTACGTTTCAGGACCATTGTTGCATCTTATACAGTATAGTTGGTTGGAACTGTGTCATTGGAGCGTGGTCAAGAATCGAAGGCACTAAGTTTGAACCAAATCCTAATGAACCCCATGCTCGTTTAGCTAGCGAGTCTCTCTTTCAGAAAAATGGACGATTGATCGCATCTACGACTGTGCTAGGTAAACACAGGAGTTTTGATACTGTCAAGTTTATCTACTGTAGATCTAAGCTAGGATGCACTGGATATTATAAACAGACATTAATTTGACATGCCTTTTTCTTTTGTCCAGGACGTAATGTTGTAATCAATCCTGAACTGTTGGTGCGAAACTCTATTGTGTTACCATACAAAGAACTGTCATCAAGTTTTAAAAATGAAATCATTTTATGATACAAAAATAAGGAAACATATGATTATGCATAGACCTTTCTAATACCGGTAATAAAAAGGTTCAGAAGTTCTTTAGGACTTTGAATGAAAACTAATGTTATTAGCAATTACTGGTAAAAAGGATCATACAGTACCTTTAGTTAGTAATGTTTTGTTGTTTTTCTTGAACATACATACAGATCCTCAGTCAATTCTCATTAAGGTCTATAAACTATATAATATATGGATTATGGTACAGTAATATACACAGTTAGATAAATTATTTGCAAATGACCAAACACATTTTTTCCTTACCTTGCTGAATAGATTGAAAATCAGATTGACATGTAGAATACAAAAATAGCCAAAAAATATATAAAAAAAGCAATACTCAAAGTACTGTGTATTCACATCTATATCATGAAGTTACAGTTTGTATAAATAAAGTATGTGCTTGGTATTAATGTAGTCCTTTTTATATGGTAGTCTGTATTCCAAGGATTGAACGACACCATTATATGACGTCTGGCCCTCTGTGTACAATGTCAAGGAAAAATATATTGTCAAAGTTTGCAATGAGCAATTCATTTGAATTACAGGCAGACAGCTTAAGCCTCTGGCTTAACAGCCTGAGTAGTGGGTGTCATATATGTGGGGGGCAGGGGGGGGGGTAGAAAAGCAGAAAACACTACATCCTGAAAAACAATGCAGAGTGTGTGCAGAGGGTGTAGAGCTAGGAAACACTAGTCCCTGGCACACATACTGTATTTTCCTCACCTCATGTTGTGTCTATGCTATTCTACTGTACCTTGAACCCTATAAGAGCTGGAACACAGGCTGTATTTCAAAATAAAGGATACTCTCCACCAGGTATAAGCTAAAATGAAGGAATAAAAGATTAAATTAATTCTATTCTAAATGGATAATCAGCAGAATTTTAAACAAATTGTACTGTATTGTACTGTACATGTAATTAATAATTAGATACATTTAATAAACTAAGGTAAAATTTGTTTAAAGTTCTGCTGATCTACAAGTAAAATTCTGCTGATCTACAAGTAAGGTAAACTTCGTTAAAATTCTGCTGCTCTACAAGTCATGCACATGTACGCCCGTATTCTAAAAGCTCACTCACACTCAATGAGTGGAGGTTCAATCTTGAGTGTCAATGCTGTTTTTGAATAGCTGGAGGGTGAGTAGTCACATAGTAACATACGACACTAACCCTCCAGCTATTCAAAAACAGCTTTAACACTCAAGAGAAGCTCAGATTGAACCTCCACTCATTGAGTGTGAGTGAACTTTTAGAATACGGGCGGTAGTGTACTGAATACAGTACACAACCAAAATACATTTTATGTTACCATAGTAATATTGTTGCCATTCAATAGGATCTGATCAAGCTTTGTAACTCTTCGACCTTCAGCAGTATTTTCACTGATAAAAAAGAAAATTACAATATATTCATTTTCAAGATTGAAAAGTGAACTGTGTTTACTTAACTAAAGTAATGTCATTTGCATTGTATTCCAAAATTTTTTCTGATATTTTAACAGTGAGCTGACTGTATGTCACTAGAACTAGGGATGTACCAAAGGCCCTTCACGCTTTCTTATTATTGGCATGGCACTACCTAGTACCTATGGCACAGGCCGATCAAGATTACGGTACTTACAATTCTGTAACATCTTCCAATACCATATCTTAAATTTAACATCAAGAATAAATAACAGCTATTTCTCAAATAAGAGGTGGGTTGAAGGTCTAAAATCGTTTATATCAGTCTCTCCCCTATATTTTTATTACAAAAAAGTTTTGTCTATGTTGAAATTTAAAATTTTCATGAGTTTCTTTGTCATTAATGATGTGTCACTTAACATGTAGAAGTCAAGTATAGCAGTCCTGAAATAAAGTACCTTCAGGTGTCACATGTTTATTTGATGTAAATCTTAAATAAATTTTTTGTTTTAACAACCAACCGCCTGCCCAACTTTTGATAAAAGTAAAGGACTTTATCTAGTCTAAATAGAAATCGAGTTCCTTTATTTTTGTGCAGAAAGTGTGCATTTACTGTAAGTGGGGAAAATGCTGGAAAAGTGGGGAAAATGCTGGAAAAGTGGGGGAAATGCAACAAAATTCTCAAGGAAATTTCTTTGTTGAAAGATTATATTGCATGCAAAGTGCACACAAGTCTCCAATTCTGAATAAATGCACACCTATATTTAACAAATATAAAACATTTTCCGTGTTGATATACAGTTATATCAACACGAGTGGAATTGGGAAAACGAGAAAATGTATGGAAACACGACGCCCGAAGGGCGGAGTGTTTTCATACAATTTCGAGTTTTCCCAACTTCCACGAGTGTTGATATAACTATATATCAATACGGAAAAAATGTTTTATATTTTTTTTATAATATAGCAATGTCAAAAGCCCGAAGGATAAGAAAAATTTCTGTGTTTACAAGCGGCGGAAAATTTTCCGTGTTGACATTGAGTTATATCAACACGGCTCTTAGCCAATCAGCGTTCAGAATTTACAAATGCTATATTATAAATATATATACGCTTGATAAATGGGCATGGCCGAATATCTTTTGTGCACATAGTAAACTTAGCAGACTGGCCCTAGTCCCCTACTAATTTAAAAGCCAAAGTATGAGTTTAAAATTATGTCCCATTAAAAGTATCATGACATCCAGTGTGGACAGTTTGTATCGCCAGCCGAGATACTGCTTGCGCAACTTGATGCTTTCTATATATTTTACTATTAAATTTTCGAAATCTCAGCTGTGTAATTTCTAAACTTTCCAGTCTGGAGTATCATTTTATTCCTTTTTTTTCCCATTTTTCACTCATTATTTTTCAAATTTTATATTTTTCAAATACTTTAATAAAAGGATACTGACAAAGTCATCAAAACCAAGTAATGTCCCGACAATTTCTTTGTCACTCTTCATTATAATATGAATTTTTGATCCAACACATTTGTCAATCAATTCTACAGAACAAAAGATCAACTTTACTGAACATTTTCGAACTAATTCTAAATCCCGGTTTCCATATGGTCGTAACTGCCGCAAATGTGTTGTGTAACTGTATTCAGAGTAGTGTTCGCAACCAAAGAACAGTCTGAAGAAAAGTCTTGTCGCAACACGCTGGAAACAGTTCACGACAGTTACAACAGTGTTGTCGAGAGACTCGAGTTCTATCTGGATGACAGTTGCAACAGCCTAAAAACATGTCATGACAGTTATGTTTTAATGGAAACAGAACAATTACAGCATGGCAACAGTTTTGTGATAATCGGGGGGGCAAAGGTCCCCTTTGGGGGCTGTGCTTGTCTTTTTAAAACTGCCCCCAGCTGCTTGTACAATCCCTGGGTCAATCTCGTTCCCCGAGCCTGCGATCCTCGGGAAGGAACGCGAGGCTCTGGGATAATCCGTTTCAGGGAGGAATCTGATTGGCCATTGAAATGGAATGCGTAGTTCAATCTTAGCCAGGATTCTTGGCTTCCGGTAACGGATTATCCCAGAGCCTTCGATTCCTTCCCGAGGATCGCAGGTTCGGGGAACGAGATTGTCCCTGGGTACGAAATTAACTTGTGACAGTCCAGACTGGAAACTTTGTGCACACACAAGAATTCTATTTCATAAAATTATGTGCACCCAACACTTGTTTTCGTGCATGTAAAAGCTTAATACCTTTATCTTTCACAGGCCAAGTGCACACTTGACACACGTGAAAATAGAATTTTGCGCACATGAATTTTTGCGCGTGGACGGAAGACCTTCCGTGCGACAAGTGTAGGTGTCACGACAGTTGCAACCATATGGAAACAGGCATAAAAATCAAAATAGAAACACGTGGTCATGTCACTCGCGACTCTCACGTGGAAATGTCAAGTTACAAAAGTCGATTAAAAATCAACAAAATTAACCATAAACCTGCATTATACAACAATAAATACAAGCGTTACATGAAATATGTTAATATATAACTTTTACACCAGCTACAACAAACAGAAACGGCATAAAACCGGTAAATTTTCTCACCCAAAGGCAAAAGTTGCGATGATGCTGGAGTCGCCATTTTGTTTTGGGATTAGTCCATCCAATGACATTATGACATATATAGGCCAGCGTCGCAAATACTTCGTGCACCCTTCGGGAGTGCACGTTGTTGTTGTTTTGTAAAATTCAGGAATGTTCAAGGATTCAAGGATCGTTGATCTTTTGTTCAAAATGGCTTGATTTAATTTAATCAAGCTCAATAAAACGTAGGAATTAATATTTAGAAATGGCTGGGGCTGCCTTAAAACGGCTTATGGCTGAATACCGACGTAAGAACTAATTCGACACTTATTAATCCTTATATATTGTATGTTGTACACGTATTAATATTTTACTACGTAGATATAGAGAGTAAAGTCGTTAATCCTTACAAATTAGGGCTTATCGATTCGTATTAAAAATATCTCGTATGTCTTGTAGAGCTAACTCTCAATCCCCCAGAAGGCATCATCGCAGGTATAAAATGTGCAATGTTGGTTTAATTATTAATAAATATGTTGATATATTAATTACAATAATTAGTATGTATCAATTATAAATATTGTGTATTTTTAGGTCCAGTAAATGAGGAGAATTTTTTTGAATGGGAAGCTTTAATCATGTAAGCATGCATGTGAAACTCGAAAGAAATATCACCTAATGCATAAAATATATCCTGTTTGATCTTTAGTATGAATACCGGTACCTTGAGATTTTGCTCTCATGCTCTGTTTATATGCCAGCCAGTTTTACTTAACCCATTGTCATTAAGGACATTAAGTTGCATTGCACCATAATGTGCCCTACTTTATTATTTTACTCTGTCTAACACCGGACGATTTTACTCACCAAGGGCCAAGGGAGAGCTCTGGCACTCAAGTAAAGTAAAATCCAAGTAAAATAATTATTTGCAGTCCTGCATGCATCTACCGAAAATAAAGTATCACAAAGTACACACAAAATTAAGTATGACGAATAAGGTAACTAACCCATTGAGTTGCATTGCATCCCGATGTGCACTAGCTACTCCCCACAATAAAGTGTGGCCCAAAATTAATAGTCGACAAATAAAAGTTGTCTATAACAAATTGTCAGTGGGTCATGTCCATATTCAAGTTGCCATGGAAAACGTCAAATTGACTGTTTTTATGTCAATTGAAGATTGATGTTTGTAAAATCAAATCGATGTTTTCATCTAAACCCACCCACCCAGTATGTGGCATAGCTTTCATCAATTTGACATTCTGCATGGAAACTTGACCCCAGATAATTTTACCCAGCATGTGAAAAATGACCTCAAATGGAAAGTGTTTGGACATTCATGCAGTGTTAACTTCACTTGTCATTTCTTCAAATATGTTCATGTAATCAGCATCCGAGAATTCAGGCCTGGCCGTAAGTATTTGGACAGGCGCGTGGCATATCATGCTGGCTATGAACGTCAGGCACGCAATTAAAAAAAAACATTGCTGTCCTCTGACTCCCTTTTCCGATGAGCTTGACAAATCATCGTTATCGTCAATGGTTGTGGTGTCTTTTTCAATTCTATGCTTTTTTAACAGAGTTTCTTCATCCACGGTGTTGCTGTCGAGTTTGACTCTGCATCTTTTCTCCATGTAAAATTCTAATGCACGTTGAAGAATCTCCTTACGCTCCTTCGCCGACCAGCAGTTATCATTTCCTTTGATCAGCATTAAATCAGTCATTCTTTTATAACTAGTCTAAGTGGCAAGGATTTGTTCCGGCAAAAATTCATTTAGAATAAAAAAACCCCAGATGCACGATTTCATATTCTTAAAACAAACGAGGCACGCGCATTTTGAGGTGTCAAGGCGCGTGCGGAGGCGCTCACGCGCGCCTCAAACGACGAGGCCTGGAATTTGAAAAACATAGGCAGGATACATACCTTATAAACTATCATAATTTGATAAAAATGTTAATTTTCTTTGCAGGGGTCCAGAAGGCACGCCTTTCGAGGACGGTGTGTTTACAGCAAAAATAGTCTTCCCATCAGATTATCCACTTAGTCCACCAAAAATGAAATTTGTCTCAGACATGTTTCATCCTAATGGTATGAACCAAATTTGATAATTGTAATTTTCATTGACATAATTGCAAGTAATTCAATGAAGTATAATTATTGCAGACCGTCTGCAGCAGCAGACCCTTATCTGTTCGCGATTTTTGGGCATAATACATTTAATAGAACTAATAGTAGGTGGATAATAGAATTTTATAATAAACTTCTATACACTTTTAGACCTGATCCCTGAGCAGTTGCAAAAAATTTAATTTAAGTAATTTATTAACTTTGCCAGATTCAAACAATGTTAACACAAAAACTGGCAGGGCAATCACAACAGCTTGTGCCAATTACTGTGATCCCTAAATGTTAGACAAATACACTATATATGTACATAGAAAAAATCAATTACTAACTATCAGATTGAACTTAGTTTCACATTGGGACCCACATGACCACTTCCATTTTCAGAAGCCGACTGATTCAGATGATATTTGAAACCCTATAGGCCCCCTAAATGTAAATTGCTATACGGATTTGCTGCGCCATGTACTGCCAATTTGAAGCACTTTTCTAGTCTATATAATTTTGTAATTTTGCATGTTTTGAAATATTAACAGTATACCCAGATGGCCGAGTTTGTATTTCAATTCTCCACGCCCCTGGTGATGACCCAATGGGGTACGAAACGAGTGCAGAGAGATGGAGTCCTGTACAATCTGTGGAGAAAATTCTACTGTCAGTTGTTAGCATGTTGGCAGGTATAAAATTATAGTGTTTTGTCGTCTCCAGGTGCTAATAAATTATAAAAAGATTTCATGTGAGTCACTATATAGAGTGTGCTAGTGCTTAATGGGCTAACATTACTTTCTCACTCTCACTGATAACAACAGGTTGACCAAAATCTGGTGCATGACAAGCTTAGTGAAACACAATACTTTTTTTTACCTTTCACACTATCTAGAACCAAATGATGAAAGTGGAGCAAATGTTGATGCATCGGTAGGTAACAGGACGTCACAAAAGCTGGCAACTGTGCTATTGTATAGGACTTGCTTCCCAGGGAAACCTCTTTCACATAATCACCATTCACCCTCAACAACTTTGATCAACAAGCTTTGGTTTTCCTACCTTTGTCATCTCTGATTAATCCAGGGGTAAATTAGCCAACCATATTACTCTATTTTGCTTACATGACAATACTACTGCATGGGTACCATGGATCCAGTTCTAGGACTGGATAAAAATTAATTCACCAGCTGACACTAGTAATTCACCAACTTGTTCGTGACTGGGTGGTATGGGGAACAGTGGGGATCTTCAAAACAATGAAGACAACAGAACTTTCCGACCACTGAATTGTGACCGCATAGTACTCCTGTTGTGCCAGGTCTTAACGCAGAGTAAAGCCAAAGGGGACTGTTCCTTCTGCTTCACATATTGCCACAAATGTATTAAATCCTTAAAATCTACTAGAGGGTCAGTACTGCCAGGTAAAATTATTTTCTTTTCTTTCCATTTAGAAACTGTGGCGTGACAATCGTGAAGAATTCAATAAGATTGCGAAGACTCTTGTCAGAAAGAGTTTAAACTTGTAAAACACTTTAGGAGCAAATTGTAAATAGTGTAGATTGTAGAAATTGGATTATTTTTGTTTGAACAAATAAACTAAAGAAAAAAAAATAATGCAACTCTATCTTACATAAATCCATCAATTTGGAAATCAAATTATTATTAAACTCTATTTATTGATATACAGTGGAATAGCCAAGGTGGGGGGGGGGGCTCTTCCATCCCCAATGTGGTGAGGGAAGAGCCCCTTGTGAAAAGTTGAAATCTGGAATAACAAAATATTTTGGGGGGATTATAGTTTCGCTTCGTCTCAGAGTGCGAGAAATGCTGTTCTAGAGACCCTGGAAATACAAAATTTCTTCAAGGGAAGTCATGTTTGGTTTTCCCCCCAAAGTCAAGACCTTGGCTACATCACTGTGTAAATATACAATGTCATGTTACGGTACCTTTTCCAGTGAGAAAATCACCTCTTATCACCTGCGACTTGTATTCAAAAAGGCTGCAATGCTCATATGTGTAATACAAAGAGAAAAGTTGTAAATATTAATACACATTATGTTCAAAAAGCTAGGAGTTGTTAGACGACTTTGTCAGATGACTTTGGTCATCAGTTATCAGAAAATAAAGTCATTATGTTAATTGTTTTCATTATACTGTATAAATTAAAGGGTGTCCCGAAAAAAAGTACGTATACCTTTTGAAATTTTCCTATTGTAATATTTTAAATACTTCGTGATGCATAAAAATCACTTCCATTCAAATTCCAACAAAGGCTTGATTTCAAAAGGTATACTTTTTTCGGGACACCCTAGTTGTATTTGAAAACACGGTGAAATCATTGAGGCAAATGGAATTGTGAGATGTAATTGAATTTTGTTGTTCCTCCACGTGTAAACATTTCTTAAGTGGATCAAATCTGTAGCCCCATATAAAAGCTTACCGAAACCAAGGATGTGACAATTCGAGATTTTTAATGGTACCCCTCATTGATTGGTACCCCAATGATTACCACAAACTTAGGACTCAAAGTGTACGTACTTATAGTCCACAGAGCACAATTTCATTCAAGGTATTCATTCAGTATCAGCTTAAAGCTGAAATAAGAATGCAGGCACAATTGTACACACAGACACAAATAATACAATTGCTCATTCCTTGGCTTCATCTTGTAGTGCGCAGCGAACGTCCCGCATACCTACGCTGTACTTGGCAAAGACGTAACGACGGAATTGACGTATAAGACTGGAATTATAATGAATTAGGAATGTAATGCCTAATGGTATTACGTCGTTCCCTACGTCTTCACCTCAGATTTTCTAAAACATGCAGCTCTAAGCATTTGGTATTTAGCAGCTGTGATCCAGCTATCCAGGGCCATACACAGGATTTTTTCACCAGGGGAGCAGTAAGGCCTATATGCCGAAAAAAGCCCCAAATATCCAAAGAATCATTAATAATGTCATTCTGAACTAGAATCGTAAATATAGTCTTCTCTAGGGAGGCGGTTGC